CCCAAATAAACCTTTGTTCATATATAGAAAAACTAAAAATTTGAGAGATGAGCTGGTTAAGAGTATTATTTCTCCTCCTAAGAGAAAGAAAGAACATATGTTTGATTTTAAGGGTTTCTACCCCTGTAGAAAATGTAGAATGTGTACGACAACGAACATTAAAATGAGAGTGATTTTCGAACTTCACGTCTAATAATACATGCGTGAAGTATAAGATTAAGAATTTTATCACATGTACTACCCCTTATGTGACATACTTATTAGAATGTCCGTGTAAGCTACAGTATGTAGGCAGGACCTCTAGACCACTACAAAAAAGATTAAGTGAGCATATTACAAATATTATAAAAGGGAAAAAAGATCATTGCTTATCAAGACACTTTAGGGACCATCATAAGTGTGACCCAAGTGTTCTTAAATTTTGTGGAATTGACAAAATAGAGGCACATTGGAGGGGAGGTGATAAAATCAAAGCCATATCCAAGAATGAAACCTACTGGATTTATGAATTGAGAACGATGAAACCGGGAGGTTTAAATGTGGATTTGGATTTGAACTGCTTTGTTTCGAACTTCTGAATGAAATGGCATATTGATTAGTTCGATTTGTTGAATAACAGTCCGCTTCTGATAGTAATGCTTGAAGAAAATAGGGGAAGATAGATATACAAAAGAACATGATTGGAGTAATTTAGGTCCATCTTTGGAGAGTAAATACACAATTAGGTTTTAATGATAAAATTTTTTTTTATAAATTTTACAAATTAATATTAAAATCATTTAGTATAGGTATAAAATACCATCTACCATAAATTGAGGATATGATTGAGGATGATGTGTCCATTTATGAGATTAGATGGTATATGTGTGCCATTCTGGATCATGGGTGGATATATAATGATCAATATATAAATATAATGTGTATAAAAAAAATGATAGTATTTTAAATTAAATTAATATTATAATATATAATTTTAAGGAGATTTCTAGGTAATATATGTAGATAGTTGTATCATGTATTTTGATCATTAACTGGGTAGGGTAGGATATAAATAAGTTTTTGTGTGAATATACATAAAAATTTATGATTTTATATAGTATATTTTATTCATTTAGTTTATTTATTTTATCAAATTGATGTTCGATTTCTATATTGAGGTATTTAATTGCAACTTATATTATCTATTTGAGATTTAAAAGGGTTATTTGTATATAAGTAATATAAAGTTTATAGTATATTTTAATTAATGGTGGCTTTTTATTGATATATAATTCGTATTATAAGTATGCATGTGAGATATATAAGGATCATTTGCATATAAGTAGTATGAATTATCATAGTATATTATCAATTAGTGATGGCTTATTGATATATAATGTTATTAGAGTTATTACGACAATTCTGAATTAATGTTGAAGAATATAGGATTAAACCTTTTTGGGGTGGTTTCGTATGAAATTGTATAGAGGGTTAGTATGGATAAGTGGTTTGTTTAAATCCGGAATGATGTGGGCATTGCCCTCCTTCAAGATGGAGTTGTATATCGGCACTGATGGATTGTGTTAGTTTGCCGGTATATGTTATGCCTGTGGACTTTCGTCGGAAGTAGGGCATTGCCCCTTTTAAAGATGGAGATTGCGTTAGTAGCACCATATGAGGAGGAGTATAAGTGAAGCGTCTCAGTCTGACGATCGTACCCTTTATGATTACGTCCTATGACGAAACGCGTCAGAGGGAAGTGACGTCAGACGCAAACGAGAAACCGGAAGTGAAGTGGCGGCCATCTTGGAGAGGGGAATACGGACTGTTACAGGCGGTTGGACTCTCCTTGACTGGTGACGGCAAAAAGGTTTTCCATATATACCATGCGTTAAGCAAGATTTTAACACTGTAAGCAGTACCATTAAAGCTTTTGAAATTTAGTGTGTGGCGGTATTACACTATATTCTGTTCTATATTTGGGTATGTGGATGGCGGATATGACGGAGAGTGGTCTGAAACACTAGTGTGGATGGATCCACATGATGTTAGGAGGTGGAAGTGAAATTCGAGGATACTGACAGGAGGAAAAATTCATCCCATCATACAGTCTTCTTGATGTTTGTTTCTAAGGCAAAAGTTGTTTTGGAACATTGGTAAGGGTATTTATTCCTTACTCTAATAGAAGTGTACTCTGTCGTGTGTTTGGAGCACAAAAAGAGTGATTCACTTACACAGTTTTGCACTACACACTGTGTATTTGCACATGTGTTTATATATATATATATATATATATATATATATATATATATATATATATATATATATATATATATATATATCCTTATGTTTACACTTTTTTCACTTGGGTGGAATATCACTGGAGGAGTTTTATATAATTTTTTATTTATTAAGGATAATGCACTATGTGGTTTTTATGTTTTTGTTTTTGAGGTAAATCTAGTTGCTACAAGAGGCTGAGGATTTGAACATAATTTTTGGACACACAATTTTCTGGACACTTGGATTTATGGATTTATTTTTCTAAGGGTTATATGATTTTTATTAGAATTTTTGATTGATTCACGGGACTTTATTTATTCACAGATTAAGGGAAAGGCTTATTATTATTTATTACTGAGCATATTATTGTTTATATTTGTACACCTCTAAGGGTAGAGGTGAAGTGTGCTTATATAGAAAATTGGGGATTTATTGTGATTATTTTATATTATGTGGAAAAAGGTGCCCTGGTCAGATAAGACCAAAATTTTACTTTCTGGCCTAAAACCAAAACACTATGTGTGGCAGAAATCTAACGCTGCACTTCACACTGAACACACCATCCCCACCGTGAAACATGATGGTGGAAGCATCATGTTGTGGGATGCTTTTCTTCAGAAGGGACAGGGAAGCTGGTCAAAGTTGATGGGAAGATGGATGGAACCAAATACAGGGCAATCTTAGAAGAAAACCTGTTAGAATCTGCAAAAGACTTGAGACTGAAGCAGAGGTTCACCTTCCAGCAGGACAACGACACTAAACATACAGCCAGAGGTACAATGGAATGGCTTAGTCAAAGTCCAGATCTAAAACCAATTGAGAATCTGTGGCAAGACTTGAAACTTGCTGTTCACAGATGCTTCTCCATCCAATCTGACAGAGCTTGAGCTAATTGCAAAGAAGAATGGGCAAAAATGTCACTCTCTAGATGTGCAAAGCTGGTAGAGACATACTCAAAAAAAAACCCCAAGCAGCTGTAATTGCAGTGAAAGGTGGTTCTACAATGTATTGACTCAGGGGGGCAGAACACAAATGCACACCACGCTTTTCAGATATTTGTAAAAAAAAAAATCTGAAGAACATTAATCATTTTCCTTCCACTTTACAATTATGTACCACTTTGTGTTGGGCTATCACATAAAATCCCAATAAAATACTTTTACATTTTTGGTTATAACGTGACAAAATGTGGAAAATTTCAAGGGGTATGAATACTTTTTCAAGACCCAGTATGTGTCACCTACAGGTGACTGGACACTGGCAAAAAAGAAAGCATGTCCCCTTCTAGATATAACCCCTCCCCTGCCTGCAGAGCTCTAGTTTTTTTTTAGCTAGTGTCTGAAGATAATGGCCATTGCCGTGCAGCTCCCTGCATGATTCTACAAGTCTCAAATGGTTCCAACAAGGATCAGGAGACTGATGCCATCCATGCCCATTCCTATAGCCATTATGGTAGTGTATGTTTATAGCAGCACTCCTCCACGCCCTCTCTATTAAACTATTACCTTTTCTGTGTATGCAACAAACATGAACGCATAACCTCTCATATGTGAACCTAGTAACAATATTATGTGTATCACACAAATATACAAATCTTCACGTGTAAATATTAAATAAAAAATATATACCACATTGAACAAAAATTATGTGCTATATTAATACAAAAATTTTAAAAGCAAAACATTTTTTCACCCAACAAATGTTTATACATAATCAAAAAGAAAGTCTATGTGTAAAATAAAACAAAGAAAAAGAAGATTTTTCATCCATATAGTAATTCTTCGATTCATGTGTAAAACCACTACCACATCGTGCTGATCCACCACCCAGCTGAATTGAATAAACTCACCAGAGCTCCAGGCTGGTCAAATGATAAACCAGCTAACACGCAGTGGCTCTGGGAGCAACGAGCTGCAGCAATATCTCTGACTCCTGCTTGACTAGTCAATCCTCATGAAAATGGATGGATTATCATAGGAAGAAAGAAAGAGGAAACTCCATAGAGAAGGTAATAGTTTAATAGAGAGGGTGTGAGGAGTGCTTCTATAAACAATCAGTATAACATGTCTTTGGATTCCAGAGAATAGATGGAAGTTCCTCCTCTTTCACGGTGTTAGTTTGTTGGTTTCCAGTTAACACCCAATTTATATTCAGTGGCGCTGTCTATTAGAGTATATTTTAAATAAAACTATAGCTATTATCGCTTGGAATAATGGTACTCAGACTACAGTGTTGCTGGTCAGCACTGTAGTGCATTTAACCTCCCTGGCGGTCCGATTATTTCAGATTTTTGGTGCTGAAAGCGGTACCATTATTTTGCATGGAAATATGTAGTTTTTTTTTATTGTAGGCTGTAATTTTTAGGAATCACTCACTGAAATCTGTCCGAACAAGAGTCTATTAAACATCCCGGGTATGATAAAATTTGAAACACGAAATCATAAATTATAATTTAATAAATAATCATAAAAAATAATAATATAATAATAATACATTTAATTCAATAATATAATCAAACCAAAAACACTGAAACTTGAAATACAGCGCCAAGTTCGCACACTACTGAGCAAAGTCGCAAAATCGTTTTCAGTGTCTGATGCCGAATTTCCCCACGAATCATTATCACTCAATTCTGCAAGTGGTTCTGATTTACTATCGCTGTTCTCTAGCTGATCTAAACCCGCTTTTGACCTAAAGGGACACTTTTTGGACGCCATGGACCTTTCTCAGTTTCCAGGCAGAAAGAACAGTAAAAATGCAGGTAGGGCACAAAACAAAGCACTAGGGACAAAATGTATGTGAAATGGTTTGATACAGCAATGTTTTACTATATTTTTGTATATTTAGTGAATATCACTTTTTGACATTTTTAAATTTCCCGCCGTTCCGTCCCCGTACATCTCAGCGCCGCAGGGAACGGAACCCGAAAGACAGATGCCGGCATCGGCCGGAGGACATTGCCGGGGACATTGCTGGAGTGAAGGACAAGGTAAGTGTAAATTACATTTTTTAAAATTTTCAAATTTCCCGCCGGCGGCGCCCGTACGTCCCGACGTCACAGGGACCGGAACACAGAAGCCGGATGCCGGCCGGAGGAGATGGGCGCGGACGCTGCAGGGGACACAACGTGGGAGCGAAGGACAAGGTAAGCTCTGCAGGGACTCCCTTTGCAGCGCCGCATGGTAAACCCCACTGTAGCTTGGGGTTACCGCTTTTGGTACAGACATTTTACCCCGAGCTACACTCGGGAATACCGCTAGGGAGGTTAAAAAACCCTGTGCAATGTATAGATTACCTGGTTCTTACTGGTAGGGTGCTATAGAGGTCTAGGGCAGTGAACCCCAGCTGGGGGATCAAATCCCTGAAGACCCTTCTGGGTGCAGCCTGCGATGATGGGTGAAGATTGGACCCCCATCCTGAAACAGGATTTGCAAGTGCCTCTGGTATCCCTGTTGGTACCCCTAGATGACTATGACCTGACCCCTACCTACTTTTTTTGGATGGCTGTGTTAGGAGTGCTGGCTGTGGTGTACTGTGTTTGCAGTAGGTGTGAGATTGCTGCAAGCTCTGCTTGCTTTAATTGGGGTTTCTTTGTTGCTCTCCACTGCATGATTGCTAGTTCTGAATAGGGAGCCTTTTTCTGCAATTCTTTTTCCAGGGCTCTTCAGCGTCTCATTTTCTGGCGGGGCTGGAGGGTGGCACGGGAGTCTGCTGGTGCCATTTGTGAGGGCAAAGCTGGGCTGATTTCCTGAGCAGTCACCTTTCTGGCGAACTTGTCACACCAGCTTTTTCGTGGGTCATGTGTCAGGGCAGGGCTGTGGAACGGACAGGTAGGCCTAGTGGCAGGGTAACGCACTGGCTGACGACAACCACCACCAACAGACCGAAGTCCCTCAGGGCGCGGAGTCTAAGTCCCAGGCTGCCCTTCACCAGGGCCCCTGATGGTGGGGATGGACTTGACGCAGCCAGGAACCAGGTCGCGGCCCCCGAGACACCCCGGCTGCGGTAATGGCCGCCGCCAATGGCGTGTAGCTGGTGAGAATGACAATAGCGTAGTCAGGCAAGCCGGGTCAACAACAACGGGACAAAACAGTACAGAACAGTAGACAGAGAATCACAGGTCACGGGCCGGGTTCAGCAACGGAAGGTCAGATCGAAGGAAAACACAGAGAATGGTCTAGTCACAAGCCGAGTCAAATACCAGAAGAGTCACGAGCATATACACAGAGCTGTAGCAAGACAAAGACACAAGTGCAAAGAGCATGTGCGGATCACAGGCTTATATGTACTCAGCCACACCCCTCTGGGGGATGGACCTCAGAGACCTGAAGGCATAAAAGCTTCCCACCATGCTCAGCATAAATCCAAGATGGATGCCAGCACATGGAGTAACATAACCTCTGGGAAAAGGTAGGACCTTGACATCATGTAAGCACACCTGCTTGGGGTGGTGGAGTCACTGGCAGCCTAGCAGCCCTTCTCCTAGGGTGACCAGCACACTGCGACATTTGCACAGTGTGCTCTTGGCTGACTGGAATTGCTCACTTAGCACAGATTCTTTTTTCTGATGTCAGCAGGCCATCTCACATATAAGGGAAAGGTAGGAGTGTGAAGGAGAGAGGGGGTTGGGGGACTCTAGGGAAAGAACCTACACTTAGCCCCCATAATATTGTTTCTGCTGGAGATCAATGTGCTCCTAGAGGCTGATTTCCTTCCCTTATTGGGTACTTCTGCTACCTTCACGGCACCATCCTCCATTTCTTATGTAACCAAGGAGAATTTGTTGTCTGTTTCAGTGGGGATACAACACTGTTACAGCAGCTCTCAAGTATTGTGGACATTCCCCTTCTACTCTTCCCTCATTAACCTCCCTAGCGGTCTGATTATGTCCATATTTCTGTGCTCAAAGCGGTAAATTTTTTTGCATGGAAATATATATATTTTTTTATTATAGGCCTGTAATTTTTAGGAATAACTCACTGAAATCTGTCCTAACAAGAGTCTAGTAAACATCCTGGGTATGATAAAATTTGAAACACGAAATCAAATTATAATTTAATAATCATAAAAAAATAATAATAATAAATTTAATTCAATAATATAATCAAACCAAAAACACTGAAATTTGAAATATAGCACCAAGTTCACACATCACTGAGCAAAGTCGCAAAATCGTTTTCAGTGTCTGATGACGAATTTCCCCACCAATCATTATCACTCAATTCTGCAAGTGGTTCTAATTTACTATCGCTGTTCTCTAGCTGATCTAAAACTGATTTTGACCTAAAGGGACACTTTTTGGACGCCATGGATGTTTCTCAGTTTCCAGGCAATAAGAACAGTAAATATGTAGGCAGGGCACAGGACAAAGCACTAGGGACAAAATGTATGTGAAATGGTTTGATACAGTAATGTTTTACTATGTGATTTTAGTGTATTTAGTGAATGTCACTTTTTGTCATTTTCAAATTTCCCGCCGTTCAGTCCCCCCGTATGCTTGCAGAGGACGGAACCCAAATGACAGATGCCGGCATCTGCCGGATTACATTGCCGGGGACACTGCAGGGGGGACATCGTGGGAGCGCAGGACAAGGTAAGTGAACAGATGCCGGAGCAGTGCCGCATGATAAGCCCGAGTGTAGCTTGGGGTTACCGCTTTTGGTACTGAAACTTTACCCTGAGCTACACTCGGGAATACCGTCAGGGAGGTTAATGGAGGAGGAATTTAAGAAGGATGACACAGAAACAGATGACTGTGTACCTGAAGAGCGAGAGGCAGAAGATTCCTCTTTCGGAGACTCTGCACCAGAAGAACCCCAGGGTTGTTTTTCAGACTCAGAAGGTCTTTATGTATTTTCTCCTTGAAGTGGTTCCAAAGTCCTCTTCTCACAGGCAGCCGTCACAAGATCCACAATCATTTGCAGAATGTTCTGGTGCCATAGGACAGAAGAATGCAGTCATTGGATCCTCCAATGTCCTTATACCCCGGCCCTCTATGGTCTCTCAACTGGTGGATGTCTTCACAACTGCTGGAGACAAGAAGGTCCTTTCTCCACCTATCCTGGAAAGTGCTGACAGCAGATGCCATCTTGGTAGGTTCGTGAAAGGGAGGGGGGTAAACTTTCTATGTAGGGCTCTTGGTCTCCACAGGAGAGTTTTTTGTCCATCAATATTCTGAAACACAGACTATTGGCCTGGCTCTCCTACATTGGTCAATGCATTTGCAAAGTCTCCTGGCAAGGGTTCAATCAGGCAATGAAACAGCCATGGCATACATAAATCATCAAGGAGGCACCAGAAGTTGGCCAGCCCAGGAGGAAGTGGAGCTCTTTTCTTGGGCAAAGCTTCATGTTCTTGATACAGCTTCTACTGTGTCTACTCTGCAGAATTCAGGTGGAAAGAATATTGGTGATTCTAATCACTCTGGCTTGGCCCAGGAGAACATGGTATTCTGACAGCATGAACATGTTGGTGAACAGTCTGTGAGTCCTTCCAGACTATCCCAACCTCCTGTTGCAAAGTATAATCTTCTATCCTTCTTTACTGTTGTTGGCTTTAATGGCTTGGCTAATGAAGCAAGGGTCCTAAGAGACAGGGGAGCCTCCGATCCAGTCAGTCATTCTCACACTTTTTGAGAGCTAGGAAGACAACTTCCAGGAAGATTTACCATAGGACCTGAAAATCATACATTAGTTGGTGTTAGGTTTGTATCCTTGGAAGTATATTGTGGGCTGTACCTTGGCTTTCCTCTAAATGGGAGTTGATATACATCTGGTCTTGGAGTTTGATGAAGGGTCAAATTTCAGCACTAGCAGTCCTTTTGTTGCTTACTCCTTGGTACTTGCCTTTGTACAGGGTGTCACACATCATGTTGCTCCTCTGATCAGACCACCTTGATCCTTGTGGCTTTTCAAGTTGATGCTTACTGTGTGTGTGTGTGTATATATATATATATATATATATATATATATATATATATATATATATATATAAAAAATGATTGCACACCTTTTTGCAGGTAGACAAAAAATGTGCATTTTTCTCTATTAGGATCCTTTAAAGCACTGCACCCACGATCAGCAGATAACAGGTGCAATGCATGGTTCCTGCAGACAATCTGTATAAGCAGTTTGCTTATATAGACAGGCAGCTACACAATGACAGGGACCAGCAATGAACTACCTAGAGCGCTCACCAGTGCTTTGGTAGTTTATTAAAGGCTACAAGACGTCAGGCGTAAATGCTGACAGTATCTGTAGTTTTTCCATTCACAGAACTCTGTGAATGAATGATGCGGCTGGGTGAGCATTTTTACACGAAAATGTGACAGTGAGTTCAGGGAAAAGATCCCCGGCTCGCGGTCACTAGAAGAGTAGGAGAGCAGCTGCAAGAGTGGGAACATGTTACATGCTCCACCCTATACACAGGTGGAAGATGTAACATGTTTTCAAATGTGAACTTATCCTTTAAAGTAGTTGTGAACCTCAGAAATGGAAAATGAACAAATCATATCCCTCTGTGGTGTGTACTTACCTCAAGAGTACCAAGTGTCATTTCTGTCTATTGCTTTGTTCCTCTGCTATCAGCATGAATCACTTCTCACAAGTTTTACCTGACACGAAGAGAAAAATTGGTGACAGTGGAGGTCAGCTGATTGACAGACTCAGCTCTGTTCCTGTGTGTTGTTAGAAGGGGGGTGTGCCTCTTCTCTCCAATCAGCTCTCAGAGCTTTCCAAGCGTTATAAATTCTGTACTTTGAACAGATGTAGAGACTGCAGATAAACAGGTACATATTATATAGAAGAATTTGCTTAATCTGTGTGCATCACCTGAGGATAGTCACTTCACTGGGTATATGTAAGGGTTACAACTACTTTAATTCTTCTGATACGGAAGTGTGTTTGTGGTCGTCATTACTTCAGCTCATAGGGTTTCAGAAATGGCAGCCCTTTTCCTATAAGGAGGCGTTTTTGGTTTATGACCATGACAAGGTGGTTCTTTATCCTCAGTCATCATCCTCTATCTCCCATCTCAACCAGGACATTTCCTTACCTTCCTTTTGCCCTAGGCCTCAATCTATGGAAAACAAAAGCTCTATAGAGCTTGGATGTGGTTCGTGCTACCAAGATCGACTGCTGCGATTCAGCAATTGGATTCTGTCTTTGTACTTTCACAGGGAGCAAGGAAAGGTCATGTAGCTACCAGTTTAGAATTTCCTATTGGATTTGGCAGCTTATTTCTCAAGCTTCTTGTTTGAAAGGAAAAGTCCCACCTTTTTATGGTGACAGCCCATTCTGCCAGGAGTGTAGATGCCTCCTGGGTGACCAGTCATCAAGCTTCGGTAGCTCAGGTCTTCTGTACCTTTTACATCGTTTTACCATGTGGATGTTAGGGCCACAAAGGATGCTTTCTTTGGTTACAGTGCTTTGCAGGCTGCTGCATAAGGTTCTTTACTGTTATATCTTTGGTTGTTTAGGCCTGGTGGCTTGTTGCTTTCCCCTCATGTTAAATGCTTTGGAACATCCATGTTCATAAGGCAGCTGCTCTGTGTCCTGTGATGTACGATAAAGATTATCGGATTTTTGGCTTACCTGTAAAATCAATTTCTTTGAATAATGGATTTTACAAGGAAGTCAAAAATCTATTTTTTCATGCTTAATGGAGTAACAACATATCTATAAAAAGGTAGTAAATACATATATACATGACTAAGTAACTGCCAATGGAGTGAGAAAGTTCTGAATCATACAGTATATGAAGCAGAACAGGGCATGTTGTATTCAGTGCTCACAGAACTATGAGCGCCTACACAAGGTTCAGTACGTCATTAACGTCAGTAACGTACAAGGCAAAATAAATAAGCACAAGTGAAACCAATTTAGGAGGCAACCCTTTAACTACCTGCCGACCGCAGATAGCCGAATGACGGCTTCACTGCGGCTGGCCAGTTCTGGGAGGGCGTCATATGACGTCCTCCCAGAACACGCTCTCCTACGGACACAGCTAATCACATGATATGGTAAAAGGCCAATCACAGCGGCCTTTAACCACGTGATCAGCCGTGTATACTGATCACTGGGAAATGCAATTGCCGGTTATCGGCTGCACTTTCCTCACTCTGTCACAAAGTGAGGAAAGTACTGCCGAGAACCGGCAGTTGTCAGAGGAGGGATCGGCACCGATCATCAGGGCACTGATGATCAGTGCCCTGATGATTGGTGCCCTGCATTGCCAACCACCAGTGCCACCCACAAGTGCCCAGCAGCGCCACCCACCTGTGCCCAGCACCGCCAACCACCTGTGCCCAGCAGTGCCGCCAGTCAGTGCCACCCATCAGTGTCAGCTCATCAGTGCCGCCCATCTGTGCCCATCAGTGCAGCCTCATCAACGCACATTAGTGAAGGAAAAAATTACCTGTTTGCAAAATTTTATAATAGAGAAACAAAAGAAAAACGTTTTCAAATTTTTTTGCTTTTTTTGTTTATAGTGCAAAAATTAAAACACCTAGCGGCGAGTAAATACCACCAAAAGAAAGCTCTATTTGTGTGAAAAAATGTATAAAAATTTCATATGGGTACAGTGTTGCATGACCGTGCAATTGTCATTCAATGTGCGATAGCGCTGAAAGCTGAAAATTGGCCTGGGCAGGAAGGGGGTATAAGTGCCCAGTAGGCAAGTGGTTAATAGGAGGAAAACAAGTTAACATGTCAATAAATCTGTAAAGAAAAAGTAACTACACTATACGATGGTATATACAAAAGTGCCATAAGTCAGCAGAAAGTAAGAACATGATACTAAACATGTAAGCAAAACTGTGGGGCAAATTATAAAAAAAAACTAAACAAAACAGTGCCATTTACTTACCTCATGCTCGAACTGTACCCAGAGTGATTCCGATGCCTGTTTGTCTGGTTTTAAAGTCATGTACACATACAAAGCAAGCAGGATACAATTTTCTGCCATAAAAAGAAAACATAACACATTACTATTCTGTATCATATACAGTAGAAGGTTCCACATCTAACCCTTTCCTGACAAGATGCCCTGGCCAAATTTAGCAAGCGCTGGTTAACTTGACAATAACACTATGAATAATTTGCCTACCAGTCTACAATTTTTTCATTAATGATTTTTTTTTAAATTATAACCACTTTAGCTGTAACTTTACAGTAATAAACATGAACACCGTCACCTTCAGGCTGCAGTGGCACCTGCAGGCTAAACGCTTATTTCATCAATGAAGCATCCAACTTGTATGAAGTCATGTAGCTAATCAGATGATCAGGAACCACCTGATTGTCAATGGGGACAGGAGGGGTCAGTGACAGCTGGGACACAAAGGTTGACTGATGGCTCTCAAAGCCAGTGGAGTAACTACAGCCATAGCTGCCCATGAAGCTTCTATGGAGCCTATGGGTGATGTGGAGAATCAATTAGGGAAACTGTTAAGACAAACTGAAGTCCACAGTCTAGAAGATGCACACGAGGAGTCATCAGAATCGCTAGCTGTCTTAGCAGTGTAGATTTATTAAGCATCTCATCTGCAGTTCTGCAAAATAAATCCAAAGTTTAACCACCTCAATACCAGACACTTTCACCCCCTTCCTGCCCAGGCCATTTTTTAAGTTTTCAGCACTTACACACTTTGAATGACAATTACTCACATGACGTCCTCCCAGGATTAGAGAACACCCATCAGGGCTTATTTTTATAATAGACTGGGTGGGAAATGGTTAAAGAAATTTGTATCAGTGTTATAGTGTAATTGCATGCAGGAGGACCAACATTTATTTAATCATATGAAACATCTTGATGGCCATTTTTAACATTATTGCTACAATGCTTGCTTTTTTTTCTTTTAACGGAGTAACAGACCACCTCTTTTAGCACATGCTTTCTGAAATTTTAAATCTGATATGCTGAAAAAGATTGTGGAGCTACTGAATGAGTAGTTTGTAGGAAAATCAAGGTTAAAATTCCCTGTACTCCTGCTCTTTTCTGAAAACGTGCATCTTCAACAGTGTTTCACGGTTATGCATTAACTCTGTCTCTCCTTAAAATAGAACTTTACTTTCCCAATCAACAATAACCATTTTTAATCTATATGTGGCTAACTATAGTAAATAGATAGGAAGGTATATTATATTTACTTTAAACTTATTTTATTTTTTTTTTACTTTTCCTTAGTTGCTTCCTGGTTTTGGGCCTAAGGCCATGAACATTTTTTCTTCCTTCATCTGAAGGAGGGGATTTCATAGCTAAGCAAGCAATTCTGCCTGCATGCTTGAGCTAGGGGCATGAATCTTCTGCCTACTCAAGATGTCCATGGCTTAGAAATGCTATGGGTGTGTTTTTCAAAGCAACTTTTGAACAAAATAAAATATGGAGACATGGATGGATGGATGGATGAGAGCGTTTTGAATATTAAAAAATGAATTAAATGGCATTTTCAGTTTGTGGTGCTCAGATATAGTTAAGTCTTGCTTTAATTTAGGCATATTTTATGTTCAGATCAGTGACTGAATTGTGACAATTGACAATACTAGGTGTCACAGAGAGGGGTTGCATGGGGGCCCCACAATCTGTAGTATCCCCCTGCTCAAAGTGCTAATATTTGTAAAATGTATTTGTAGCAAAGGGACAGGTTGCTAGTAGGAAGGGGTTAACATAAGAACTAAAGCCCCTTGATGGTCCCTAATGTTTGATTAAATATTTTAATATAAATCCTTACATGCGGTTCATATCTCTACAAAAACAAAACTTTTCAAAATGTCTATATCAGACACCCTAAATCTCAGCATTAACCAAGAGTTAAGCAGTCTCGTCTGGGCATTAAACAGGGGAAGTACCTGAAAAAGCAGCTGTTTATAGGGATCGAACTGTAATTCTATGCAAGAATGTGAGGGTTTAAGGTAAAAATGATTTTACTTATATAGGCTTGGCTTGCTTCTGACAGTTGTAACTTTAGCACCTTAAACAAACTTTATTTTAATCACATATTTTACACTTATTCAGCACTTACTTTATACTGTTTGGCAAATCCAGAATATAGGAGACAATGTGGCAGTAGGTGTGTGAAATCAGGCCAGGCAGTTTATATAAAAAGAACTGTCAGGTGACCACCAAACCATCACGGCAGCAAGATCATATTGCAATGGGGATATAGAAAAAGATGAGCATGATCTGATCATAAACCACTAGAATTGTAAAGTGGGTTGAGCATGGCTGAGAAGAAAGATGTGTATGTGTGTGAGGAGTGTGGTAGAGTGAGAAGTGATCTTGGACAATGTGGAAAGGAGGCAGAGAACAACCTGATTACCGAGGAGTGGAGGGGACAGAAGAGTGGCAGCGGAGTTCCATGTAGATATTTATGGACTGAAAAGTAAAGGTATAGATGACCGAACTGTGGACTGGGTGGACGTTACATGGAAAAACTGTAATTTTTCTCTTCTAGGGCAGTACTTCCATTTTTCCTGATGTGTGAAGTTGTGGTGCAGCTGTTTGCAACAACTACAATAACCCTGACAAAAATTGTGTATTAAAGGGTTGGTGCTTAATGGTAATCGTTACAATTCAGGCAATCCTGGCCATCTGTCGGACACTGCCGCTGTATGACTTCATAAATTACTCCATTGATGGCATCTCTGGAAATCAGATGGTCCCACCCTGAAGAAGCTCACGTGACTTGGTGAGCGAAATGCGCTGATGTCACAACGTAATCACGCCCACACGGTTTTCCATCATGCCACTTCACATGGAGCATGGACCATCTGATTTCCAGAGATGCCACCAATGGAGTCATTTATAAAGTCCTATAGCGGCAGTATCATACAGATGGGCAGGATTTCCTGAATAATGATCATATCTGGAGTGTTGAGCAGCATCACACCAAAACCAGGTGTTGTCTACATCGGGAGTTTGTCCCATGACTGTGATTGCTCTGGGGAGCCTTATACTTGGTGAATCTCACCTGTGTGTGTGAAATGAACATATGTAGATTGCCATTATACTCTGATCAGTTGGCCCTCTGTGCACGGCTGATTCAATAAGTCTGAAATCTCAGCATGTCTATTTGACCATGGACACTCGTTTTGATTGATGATGTCATCGATTTTGAACTGTGTATTCTATATACCTCAGAGGTTGCTTATATCCAAGTCACTGGTCTGGTATTACCCAATGGGATCTTCATCTCCATAAGAACTTTTAGATTAGATACACAGTAACACAAGTGGACTAATCCCCAATGTGGATTATCTTCCCAATCATTATCACAACTACAGTCAGGTCCATAAATATTGGGACATCGACACAATTCTAACATTTTTGGCTCTATACACCACACACACAATGGATTTGAAATGAAACGAACAAGATGTGCTTTAACTGCAGACTGTCAGCTTTAATTTGAGGGTATTTACATCCAAATCAGGTGAACGGTGTAGGAATTGCAACAGTTTGCACATGTGCCTCCCACTTGTTAAGGGACCAAAAGTAATGGGACAATTGGCTTCTCAGCTGTTCCACGGCCAGGTGTGTGTTATTCCCTCATTATCTCAATTACAATGAGCAGATAAAAGGTCCAGATTTAATTTCAAGTGTGCTATTTGCATTTGGAATCTGTTGCTGTTAACTCTCAAGATGAGATCCAAAGAGCTGTCACTATCAGTGAAGCAAGCCATCATTAGGCTGAAAAAAACAAAACAAACCCATCAGAGAGATAGCAAAAACATTAGGCGTAGCCAAAACAACTGTTCGGAACATTCTTAAAAAGAAGGAACGCACCAGTGAGCTCAGCAACACCAAAAGACCCGGAAGACCACGGAAAACAACTGTAGTGGATGACCGAAGAATTCTTTCCCTGGTGAAGAAAACACCCTTCACAACAGTTGGCCAGATCAAGAACACTCTCCAGGAGGTAGGTGTATGTGTTCAAAGTCAACAATCAAGAGAAGACTTCACCAGAGTGAATACAGAGGGTTCACCACAAGATGTAAACCATTGGTGAGCCTCACAAACAGGAAGGCCAGATTAGAGTTTGCCAAATGACATCTAAAAAAGCATTCACAGTTCTGGAACAACATCCTATGGACAGATGAGACCAAGATCAACTTCTACCAGAGTGATGAGAAGAGAAGAGTATGGAGAAGGAAAGGAACTGCTCATGATCCTAAGCATACCACCTCATCAGTGAAGCATGGTGGTGGTAGTGTCATGGCGTGGGCATGTATGGCTGCCAATGGAACTGGTTTTCTTGTACTCTTGTGACTGCTGACAAAAGCAGCAGGATGAATTCTGAAGTGTTTCAGGCAATATTATCTGTTCATATTCAGCCAAATGCTTCAGAACTCATTGGACACCGCTTCACAGTGCAGATGGACAATGACCCAAAGCATACTGC